ACACACACACACACACACACGCACACGCACACACATGCACACACGCACACACACACACTCACACACACTCACACACACATACACACACACCCTATTTTTTTGGCTCGGCCATATCAGCAATGGACGTTGTTGACTCGGGGTCCAACCACTTGAGTAACCTCGCTCTATTGAAAGGGGAGCTATAACCATACCGTAGTACCAAACTGTAAATCACATTAGTACAATATGGAAGTTACGGGACGCATCGAATCATAATCTTGTCCGCCTGGCCAGTTCTTTTTAAAAGACGGAGCAACATTCGTTAGTTCCACGGCCGCAGGGACTTTGTGTTGAACAATTCACTGTCCCAGAAATGTGACTTCCCGCTGGGTAGTTGGCTTCCCCCACCTTCCCTGTTGTTCACTCTGTCTCTACAACGAAAGTTTTGTCCAGTTTGTTTTTCATAATATTAAAATCACTATTTGTTAGCTACCCTCTTGTGAAAGTTATGTTTTTGTTTTTTGTCTGTGTCTTTCTATTTCTATATTATGTTTAGTATTGTATCTGTCTCAAGAGCGAGTGCTCTGATGGGATTTTCTCCTTCTTTCCTTTCGAATACATAACGTCGCTATCTCTCCTTCTTCTCCTCTGTGCATGTTACTTTCTAGGGGCGCCTTAATATTCGGAACCTTTGGGACCTAGTTTTGTTGCAAGAGCCGTGACACTCTTAATAAAATTTAACATCCTACTTTAGAAAGAACTATGGTATCTATATTAGTATTTGTCTACCATTTATTCATACCTTGCATTATTTTCTTCTCACAGATCTGACCATCTGAAAGAGGAGTACGACAAGAGACTTAGAAACGTGAGTGTTATTAATTATATAAATTTTGTTATATTTTTTCTAAGTTTACTTATTATAATCTTTTTCTTATGGTTTTGTCACTTTTTGTTGCGGATGGCGTGTGGTGTAGGTCCTTCTTCATTCCTTTCTCTCTGTTTTTTCTCTCTGTCGGTCTTCACTTTTCCCTCCGCCAAATGACCTTTTTTGAGTCGATGCGTATTTCTCTTTAACAAAATAAGC